TTTCCCCCTCCTCTCTCCTCCCTCCCTCTTCCCTCCCTTCCCCTAGCTCTTCCCTCCGTCCCCCTCCCTCTTCGTCTCCTTGCTCTCCTCTCACTTACCCGTGAGTGTGCGGGGGCCAGTGGCTGCTAACAGCAAGAGCAACAGTCTGGTTGAACAGATAATCAGCAGAAGTGTTCCACCCATGTCGGTACCAGGGCGGAACAAAACTCAAAACTGATCACAGGTGTATTACCAGTATATTGTCTGTGACCCTTCCCCAGCCTCTTTACCGCCCCTTCCCCACGGCTCCCCTTCACCACCCTAGACCCTTTCAAACCGCGCCCCTTCACCGCTCCAGACCCTTCCCCGCCGCACTCCGCCCCGCCTCCCGTGGTTTGGTGTGACTCGCAACATGCATATTGCACACGTATAGGAAATCAATATTAGGAATGACAGTTCACAGTAGGTGGTGATAGTGGTGTTAGCAGTACTGTGGTGGTGATAGTGGTGTTAGCAGTACTGTGGTGGTGATAGTGGTGTTAGCAGTACTGTGGTGGTGATAGTGGTGTTAGCAGTACTGTGGTGGTGATAGTGGTGTTAGCAGTACTGTGGTGGTGATAGTGGTGTTAGCAGTACTGTGGTGGTGATAGTGGTGTTAGCTGTACTGTGGTGGTGATAGTGGTGTTAGCTGTACTGTGGTGGTGATAGTGGTGTTAGCTGCACTGTGGTGGTGATAGTGGTGTTAGCTGCACTGTGGTGGTGATAGTGGTGTTAGCTGCACTGTGGTGGTGATAGTGGTGTTAGCAGTACTGTGGTGGTGATAGTGGTGTTAGCTGCACTGTGGTGGTGATAGTGGTATTAGCTGCACTGTGGTGGTGATAGTGGTGTTAGCTGCACTGTGGTGGTGATAGTGGTGTTAGCTGCACTGTGGTGGTGATAGTGGTGTTAGCTGTACTGTGGTGGTGATAGTGGTGTTAGCTGTACTGTGGTGGTGATAGTGGTGTTAGCAGTACTATGGTGGTGATAGTGGTGTTAGCTGTACTGGGGTGGTGATAGTGGTGTTAGCAGTACTTTGATGCTGATAGTGGTGTTAGTACTGTAGTGTTAGTGCCGTGGTGGTGACGGTGGTGTTAGCAATGCCGTGGTGTTAGCAATGCCGTTGTGGTGACGGTGGTGCTAGCAGTGCCGTGGTGGCGACTGTGGTGTTAGCAGTGCCGTGATGGTGACGGTGGTGCTAGCAGTGCCGTGGTGGTGACGGTGGTGCTAGCAGTGCCGTGGTGGTGACGGTGGTGTTAGCAGTGCCGTGGTGGTGACGGTGGTGTTAGCAGTGCCGTGGTGGTGACGGTGGTGTTAGCAGTGCCGTGGTGGTGACGGTGGTGTTAGCAGTGCCGTGGTGGTGACGGAGGTGTTAGCAGTGCCGTGGTGGTGACGGTGGTGTTAGCAGTGCCGTGGTGGTGACGGTGGTGTTAGCAGTGCCGTGGTGGTGACGGTGTTAGCAGTGCCGTGGTGGTGACGGTGGTGTTAGCAGTGCCGTGGTGGTAACGGTGGTGTTAGCAGTGCCGTGGTGGTAACGGTGGTGTTAGCAGTGCCGTGGTGGTGACGGTGGTGGTACCAGTGCCGTGGTGGTAGCAGTGACGTGGTGGTGACGGTGGTGCTAGCAGTGCCGTGGTGACGGTGGTGCTAACAGTGCGATGGTGACGGTGGTGCTAGCAGTGCCACGGTGGTGCTAGCAGTGCCGTGGTGGTGACGATGGTGTTAGTGGTGGTGACGGTGGTGTTAGTGGTGCTGTGGTGGTGACGGTGGTGTTAGCTGTGCCGTCGGGGTGGTGGTAGCGGTGCCGTGGTGGTGACGGTGGTGTTAGCGGTGCCGTGGTGGTGACGGTGGTGCTAGCAGTGCCGTGGTATTAGCGGTGCCGTGGTGGTGACGGTGGTGGTAGCGATGCCGTGGTGGTGACGGTGGTGCTAGCAGTGCCGTGGTGGTGACGGTGGTGCTAGCAGTGCCGTGGTGGTGACGGTTGTGCTAGCAGTGCCGTGGTGGTGACGGTGGTGCTAGCAGTGCCGTGGTGGTGACGGTGGTGCTAGCAGTGCCGTGGTGGTGACTGTGGCGCTAGCAGTGCCGTGGTGGTGACGGTGGTGCTAGCAGTGCCGTGGTGGTGACGGTGGTAGCAGTGCCATGGTGGTGACGGTGGTGCTAGCAGTGCCGTGGTGGTGACGGTGGTGTTAGCAGTGCCGTGGTGGTGACGGTGGTGCTAGCAGTGCCGTGGTGGTGACGGTGGTGTTAGCAGTGCCGTGGTGGTGACGGTGGTGCTAGCAGTGCCGTGGTGGTGACGGTGGTGTTAGCAGTGCCGTGGTGGTGACGGTGTTGCTAGCAGTGCCGTGGTGGTGACGGTGTTGCTAGCAGTGCCGTGGTGGTGACGGTGGTGCTAGCAGTGCCGTGGTGGTGACGGTGGTGCTAGCAGTGCCGTGGTGGTGACGGTGGTAGCAGTGCCGTGGTGGTGACGGTGGTGCTACCAGTGCCGTGGTGGTGACGGTGGTGTTAGCAGTGCCGTGGTGGTGACGGTGGTGCTAGCAGTGCCGTGGTGGTGACGGTGGTGCTAGCAGTGCCGTGGTGGTGACGGTGGTGTTAGCAGTGCCGTGGTGGTGACGGTGGTGCTAGCAGTGCCGTGGTGGTGACGGTGGTGGTAGCAGTGCCGTGGTGGTGACGGTGGTGGTAGCAGTGCCGTGGTGGTGACGGTGGTGTTAGCAGTGCCGTGGTGGTGACGGTGGTGCTAGCAGTGCCGTGGTGGTGACGGTGGTGCTAGCAGTGCCACGGTGGTGCTAGCAGTGCCGTGGTGGTGACGATGGTGTTAGTGGTGGTGACGATGGTGTTAGTGGTGCTGTGGTGGTGACGGTGGTGTTAGCTGTGCCGTCGGGGTGGTGGTAGCGGTGCCGTGGTGGTGACGGTGGTGTTAGCGGTGCCGTGGTGGTGACGGTGGTGCTAGCAGTGCCGTGGTATTAGCGGTGCCGTGGTGGTGACGGTGGTGGTAGCGATGCCGTGGTGGTGACGGTGGTGCTAGCAGCGCCGTGGTGGTGACGGTGGTGCTAGCAGTGCCGTGGTGGTGACGGTGGTGCTAGCAGTGCCGTGGTGGTGACGGTGGTGCTAGCAGTGCCGTGGTGGTGACGGTGGTGCTAGCAGTGCCGTGGTGGTGACGGTGGTGTTAGCAGTGCCGTGGTGGTGACGGTGGTGTTAGCAGTGCCGTGGTGGTGACGGTGGTGTTAGCAGTGCCGTGGTGGTGACGGTGGTGCTAGCAGTGCCGTGGTGGTGACTGTGGCGTTAGCAGTGCCGTGGTGGTGACGGTGGTGCTAGCAGTGCCGTGGTGGTGACGGTGGTGCTAGCAGTGCCGTGGTGGTGACGGTGGTGCTAGCAGTGCCGTGGTGGTGACGGTGGTGCTAGCAGTGCCGTGGTGGTGACGGTGGTGCTAGCAGTGCCGTGGTGGTGACGGTGGTGCTAGCAGTGCCGTGGTGGTGACGGTGGTGCTAGCAGTGCCGTGGTGGTGACGGTGGTGCTAGCAGTGCCGTGGTGGTGACGGTGGTGCTAGCAGTGCCGTGGTGGTGACGGTGGTGCTAGCAGTGCCGTGGTGGTGACGGTGGTGCTAGCAGTGCCGTGGTGGTGACGGTGGTGTTAGCAGTGCCGTGGTGGTGACGGTGGTGTTAGCAGTGCCGTGGTGGTGACGGTGGTGTTAGCAGTGCCGTGGTGGTGACGGTGGTGTTAGTGCCGTGGTGGTGACGGTGGTGCTAGCAGTGCCGTGGTGGTGACGGTGGTGTTAGCAGTGCCGTGGTGGTGACGGTGGTGTTAGCAGTGCCGTGGTGGTGACGGTGGTGTTAGCAGTGCCGTGGTGGTGACGGTGGTGCTAGCAGTGCCGTGGTGGTGACGGTGGTGTTAGCAGTGCCACGGTGGTGTTAGCAGTGCCGTGGTGGTGACGGTGGTGCTAGCAGTGCCGTGGTGGTGACGGTGGTGTTAGCAGTGCCACGGTGGTGCTAGCAGTGCCGTGGTGGTGACGGTGGTGTTAGCAGTGCCGTGGTGGTGACGGTGGTGCTAGCAGTGCCGTGGTGGTGACGGTGGTGCTAGCAGTGCCGTGGTGGTGACGGTGGTGTTAGCAGTGCCGTGGTGGTGACGGTGGTGTTAGCAGTGCCGTGGTGGTGACGGTGGTGCTAGCAGTGCCGTGGTGGTGACGGTGGTGTTAGCAGTGCCACGGTGGTGTTAGCAGTGCCGTGGTGGTGACGGTGGTGCTAGCAGTGCCGTGGTGGTGACGGTGGTGTTAGCAGTGCCACGGTGGTGCTAGCAGTGCCGTGGTGGTGACGGTGGTGTTAGCAGTGCCGTGGTGGTGACGGTGGTGCTAGCAGTGCCGTGGTGGTGACGGTGGTGTTAGCAGTGCCACGGTGGTGCTAGCAGTGCCGTGGTGGTGACGGTGGTGTTAGCAGTGCCGTGGTGGTGTACTTCAACTCATTTTTTTCCAAGGTTGGACTGAGTACATCATCTTCACTTCACTACTACACTGCTGCCTCTGTATTTGACTGAAGAAGCCTACCGTGTAGGCGAAACGTTTCAACAATAAAGTTACGTGTTGCACACGTCTTAATCGTCAACTTGTCGGTATTCAATACCATTTTCAACATTAGAGTTTTCACTGTCATATCTGATAAAAAAAAAAAGTTCTTTCCCGTAGCAGACAAGAACATAATTGGTATGAGAATAAATTTTTTTGTTATTGTACCATAAAACTTGTTCATCGAGTGCATATACTCAGTTATTTCGCAATGAAAAAGTTAGAATAAATGAAGTACAAAACACAACTGAAGCAAAGGAGGATGTTGGAATCTTTTATATTCCAGGTACACAAGCTGGCTGCCACATTACTTTGTCTAGCTATTAGCGGACGGAGGTTTGAACCTCCACTGCTGCAAGACACTGCCTTAACGTTTTACTTAATAATAATAATAATAATTTTTTTTTTTTGAAATGTAATGTCGTGTTTTCAACAGGGGTCACCGCAGCATCATGCGACAGGTGGACCAGATGATGGCTTCCATGATCCGTGACCCTTTCGAGGAAGACCCCTTCTTCGGCACGGGGGGCGGTGCTGGTGGCGGCGGAGGTGGTGGTGGCTGTGGTGGTCTGTTGGCTGGGTTCCCCGCCCTCACCGCCGGGCCTGCCGTTAACGCACTCAGTGCCGTTAACGCCCTCAACTCCAACGCCTTGGTTGCGGCGGGGGCCTCCGCCAGGACGCAGCGGGCCAGGTCCCAGCATCCCTTCACAGCTCTGGGTCTGCCTTCGATGGCCAATATGATGTCCTCTATTGTGAGTATTGTTTCTTAACTTGTATTTTGTGAGGATGTTGTTACCTGTGTTGTGGGTAGTATGTTCTCTGTTGAGTATTTTCTTGTATTCTGTGAGGATGTTTTTAACTGTGGTGTGGCTAATGTGATATTCTCTGTTATGACTCGCGAATTCATAACAACACAATTTGCAAGCAAACCACAGTACAGGCGGGGGGCGGGAATTGAGCTCGCCACGAGTTCAATTCCCGCCCGTACCGTGATTTCTCTTATGAGTATGTGGAGAATTTTGTTTCTTGATTTGCGCTATCTAATGATTTAAAAGTCTAAGGGGATTTTTTTCAAATCAGATGAGAATAATTTTGAAGGTAGTTAGGCCCATATTGAAGTATGCAGCACCAGGCTGGAACCTACACCTGCTGAAACATTTCATGACATTGGAGAAAGTTTGCAACGAGATTAGTCCTAAAGTGGGGTGGGGGTTGTACTGTGAGGAGAGATTAAGAGAGCTAAACGTGATGACATTGAAGGACAGAAGGACTAGGGGTGATAACATACAAAACAGAGAGGGAGATTGTTAGAGAGATTGGGGGGGGGGGGGAACCCAAGGGCACAGCTGGAAATTAAAAGCAGGCCGAGAGATGTTTAGTACGCCACTTTTATTGAGATTCTGGCGTCAGGAGCAAAGAATATTGCGGTGCTATAGTGTATGTCCTTGTCTGTCAGCTATAAGAACGAGAAACAAGTGGGCAGAGTATCGTGCATTGAACAGCGCTCTTCATTGTGGCATCTCAGACTTCGCTGTTTACTACTATGGGTTCTGTGTATTAAGAAGTTAAATATCCATCTGCCCACTCTTCCCTTTATTCCTTTCGAACCCCTTTTTTCGCAATCACACCATAGCCGCACATATCGAACACTAGCAAAATCAGTGTACCCATCATCAGCTTTTAGCTTATAACAGTGTTGGGATAATTACCGACAATGTTAGGTATAAGGACATACATGCAACTAATGCGACATTTTTTTGACAACCTTTCGCCCTCCTGGAGAGCGAAACGTTGCCACAATAAAGTCATCATTAGTTTCACGTGTCCTTTTAACAGTTTTTAGCTTGTTTTCCAGAGCACCCAGGACAAGCGTAATGATCTAGCAGTTGTGAAAAACAGGACAGACCTGCCCTAAACCCATGCTGCTCTGCATTGTGCAGTTGTGATTCAACGTGATTGGCATTCTTGCTGCTTAGGACCAGTTCGAAGATTTTGATAATACGGGAGGTTAGGAGCAATTAGTCTAGTTTCTTGCAATTGCTCTACTGCCACCTTTGTGAAGTGGGGCAGCATCAGTGAGATGGACCGTGAGATGACGCCTGTGTTCCAGGCTGCTGCTCCATAAAGTACTTAAGGTCTGAGATAGTGGTTTCTTACAATTTTTGATAAATATGGAATTCTACGAGTTTGGACCTAGAGCAGAATGCATGGGCATGCTGTCGATGGCTTTTTCAAAGTCAACTGTAGAGAAGGCTACACCAGAAATTGTGGAAATGTTGGCAGCGCTTTGAGTCTTCTTGAAAAATTTGTTTGGGTCCTCGATCTGCAGAATGATGAGAGGTTCGCAGAACACATTTGTACTGTGGCCTCAGTATTACACTCTTTGCTTTATTGCCATCAGTGTATGTTCTGTCTTGAAGTAACTATCCTATATTAGATGTGGTTATCAGCCTGGATTTTGCATCGTAGTATTAGTATATGGATTTATTCTAATTTCATTTATGAATTTGCTTCCTTTATCTCTCCTGGACTCTAAATAATACAGTCGGTTTGTGTTCAGAGAGTAGTGACTCGAACACAAACACAAAGGTATATCTTTATCTTCCCTTCCCTTCCCCCCACCCTTTCGCCTTCCTCCCCTCCCTCCCGCCTCCCCCCCTCCCTCCCACCCGCTCCCTCCCCTCCCTCCCCCCCCCTCCCTCCCCTCCCCTCGCCTCCTCCCGCCTCCCTCCCCGCCCTCCCTCCCGCCTCCCTCCCGCCCTCCCCCCCGCCTCCCTCCCGCCTCCCTCCCGCCTCCCTCCCGCCTCCCTCCCCTTCCCTAGCATCACAGGTGCAGGTGTGGTTAACTGTGGTGTATGTGTGTGCATCACGTGAGCACATCGTGAGGTAACACTTGCTACTACCTCTGCCAGTACTTTCCTTATACACCCACGTCATTCTGTACTTGTGGTTGTAGCATTTACTACCTCATCTTACCCCATTACGTAGTATGTAGGCGTGTAGAAAGCGACTCTCCATGAAGGTATTACCCTCCTGCCATTTGAGTGAAATATAGGTAGTAGGTTAGTCTTCAAGAAGGAACTGGACAAGTTTCTCAAATCACTGCTTGACCAGCCGGACCGTGGTTCGTACGTTGGACTGCGTGCGACCAGCAGCAAGAGCTTGGTTGATCAGGTCTTGATCCTCCAGGTCGTCTGATATGGGACCGGGCCGCTGGAGGGCCATTGACCCCCCGGAAACGTCCTTCAAGTATACCCCAGGCATAGCAACCATGCTTTCAAATATTAGTCTTCGTCATGTGTAGGTTGGTAGGTAGCAACCGTACAATGAAGGTCCTACCATGCACAAATAACTTGCACATAGTGGAGAAACTTATGGCAACGTTTCGGTCCGACCTGTGACCATTTAAGTCACACTAACAGACAAGAGTGAGGGAGCTAATATATATAGGCGAGGAGACACTGACGGGTACTACCTTCATATGCAGCAAATATTAAAGTGAATGGTGTTATTAATGTTTTACACTGACAGGATTGCTGCTCTTTACGGCTCATGAACATGCAAGATGGCAACTCACGCTCTTAACTCTTACTTACATTTAGCATACACTTAGCTACCTTCACTTTCGTGTTTTTTTAATATCTTTGTGTAATTTACTTTCCACTTGAGGCAGGTCTGAGACCGGATCACGCTTACGGTCTACCTACCTGTAGCCTTTCAATGCCCCCCACCACACCCCTTTGGACTGAATACATCGATTCCAGGCTGAGGGACTGATTACATCATACTCTTTTCCACCATTCTTAGTACTGGACTGATGAAGCCACTGTGTGGCGAAACGTGTCCTCAACAGAGATTTCCTAACGTTGCACAAGTGCCTCATTCTTCATGCCTACCTGTGATCGATTTGACAATTCTACGTGGCTTTCCTATTGACTACCTAGTCATCCAGGCTATTGGTACTAGTGGCATGCAGGCCCGTATAGCCTTCACAACCTGGCTGATCAGTTGTTTATGGGAAGGAGGAAAGCGCCGATAAAGGTGAAAACCAAGGAATGGAAATAGAGTGGAGAACGTCATTCACAGCAAGTCGGAAAAGAACAAAACATGGGTACATAACATAGAGAAAAGGGAAAGAGAGGAAGAGAAAGCTGGAGCAGGGACAAACGAAAATGAAAAAATAGGAAGAAATACGCCTAGATGAAAGAACAGAACTCTGATCAGGTGGCAGAACTTGGGAAAGACACAAAATCAGTAAATATAGGTAGTCAGAACATTTGCAGATACTATGCAAAAGGTATGTGCTTATATGGCAGAGCTTGCTGGAATAAACGCAACAAAAAATGTGTGAACATGAGAAAGGGAAAGTGTTGCTTTGACAGAGTGCAGGTACTTCCACTCAGTCCAGAGAATGTTTTGACCTGAGCTGCCCAGACCATCGTATGAAAGGAACGCGGCGCTACAGAGAAAGCAGAGAAAGGGAAAATGAACAGCAATCTTTTTTAGACATAGAGAAACGATCGGACCAATGATACAAAAAGGGGGAATGGTACAGAGGGAACATGTGGGCAGCACAGTGGGACATACCAAACCAAGCATCAGCCCATCAGGGCCGAATGAACAATCAAATGCAGTCAGCACTGGAGAAACCAAGGGTATGTACATCAGGGGACATACCAAATGGTTCACCACCAGTGGTACTAACGAAACACAAAGCAAGACAAAACATCCAAAATGGTAATTCCTGCTTCATATTTGCAAATATTCAGGGTCTGAAATAAAATAAGAACGACAAAGTTAGTTATGTCAGTGGGCTCCTATAGGAAGCGAAGGCCATGTTTGGAGCATTTACAGAAGCACACACAAGGGATGTTTTGGACGTAGACATACAGATAGAAAACTATAGCATGTATAAATATGATAGAATTAATAGGTCACAGGGAGGAGTAGGGCTCTATGTAAAAGATACTTGTTGCATAGAAGTGCTGAACTCTACGAATGATATAGTAGAAATCCTATGCATTAAAGTTGAAAATAGGAATTTGGTAATTATCCTAGTATACAAACCTCCATCAGCAACTGCTGAGGAATTCACAGATCCGCTAAGGAACATAGATAGTTGTGTGGATAGGCTAGAAAATCCCACGCTAAATATTTTATTCCTTGGAAATTTTAATCTCCCTCATTTAAAATGGAAGATGGCGCAACATAGTGTTATACCAGAAGTATCCTCGGGAAGCACCCTGGCTCAACAGGCACATGCCAGGGAACCAATGAGGCTTTGAAAAGTACTCGTTGAACCAACAGGTATAATTGATCCCACTAGGAATGAAAATACCCTGGATTTGATGTTCACAAATAACGAGGAACTAATCAGACACAAGTTACAAAAACAATATACTCGGATAATAACATCATAGAAGTTCAAACGAGTATTAACTCAGGGTTAGGAAACTGCGTCACTAATGTTAGAGACGGGATGTTCAGAAGTTTAATTTTAACAACCATAGAATTGACTGGGAAAAAATAAACCAAGAGCTATCAGACGTATCCTGGGAATCAGACATGAGCGCCTTAAATTTCCACGAGTGCCTAGAGAAGCTGAATACAGAAACATACAAAGTATGTATGAAGCACCTACCATTGAGGAAACCCAGAAGATTAGATAGATAGAGAGCGTAGGAGATGGTACAGAAAAGGAAAACTGGTTACTGAATTGCTTAAAAACACACATGTTGCAACAGAGGAAAGATAGGCTTTGCCGAGAGATCACTGAATTAGAGCA